GTTGCATGTGCCCGCCCCCTGGGCTCTCTACTGCCGGAGCTCCGCTCCTGTGCGCTCCTGCAGGAAATGACCCCTGTGTGTGTGTGTGTGTGTGTGTGTGTGTGTGTATCCTTGAGTCCCAGGGAGAAAAGTGGGCTGTAAATAAACAAATAAAATTCTCTTTGTACGAAACTTCCCAACTGCTCCCTCCCCTCCTACCTGTATCTTCCCCTGAGTTATAAATTCACCGCATCTTAATTGCTCTTACTCATTCAACAAGCCTCTTCTGAAAAATTCCCCTGTATACTAATTTTCTGTAATTATTATTATTATCTGCTTTAAATGCTTTTTAATTGTTTGAAATAAGTGTATCTTTTTTAAAAAAAATCTTGTTATCACACGTAACGTACTATTGATGCATGCTGCACCAGTATCTTATATTCCCCAGTGACAACAGATGGTGCACACAATCCAAATGTACACAAAGCTGCACGGAGACAGTTCCCACTATATTCAGTCAATGTGTGATAGATGGATCATGTCCAGCATGACTGGCTCTTGTTTTGTTTCACTGCAGTCTGAAAACGTGTCAGATCCCCAAACCCATTTTGCAGAAAGAGTTCGTCCATTGGTTTCCATGGGATTACTTTGAAGCAACCTGACCTGGAGAGCCCGGGCCAGCCCTATCTCGTCAGACCTCAGAAGCTAAGCAAGGCTAGTATTTTGATGGGAGACCACCAAGGAATACCAGGGTCATGACGTGGACCTCTGAACGTCTCTTGCCTTGAAAACTCTACGGGGTTGTCATAAGTCAGCTGTGAATTGATGGCAGCAACAACAACTTTGAAGCAACTAGTGAGAGGTTTCCAGTCAGATATTGTACACCAGAATAAAGAGCACACCTTGTTTCCTCATTGCGAGTGATCAAAAATAGTAAATGCAAGTAGGTGATCTTACAAAGGTTTGAGGAATAAACTAGAGGGTGAGTCTGCATACACTCTGCAAATAATGTCTAGCACATTGAGAACTGGGTTTCAGTGTGGGGAACAAGTATTCAGACATGCTATTGTGAGGTCCTTAGACAAGCCTCAGTCCATTGGCTACAAAATAAAAGCAGTTGTTGTGGAAGACAAAATAAAGAGGGAGAGTGGCTATGGCCGAGTGGTGCAGCATCCACTGGACATGCAGCAGGTCCCTGTTTCAGTCCTCAGCATTTCCAGCTACAGAGATCAGGTGGCAGGTGATATGAGAGACCTCTTCCTGAGACCCTGAAGAACTGCTGAGCAGACCATACTGGCCTTCAGGATTCTCTGATTCCGTTTAAGGCAGCTTCAAGCGTTCACTATTGCAAAGTGCATTGTATGTAAGCTCAGCATAAATGAAACATCATTCTGTTTTTTGGACTTGGCTGCCAATCGGACTTTGCATAGAGAGAAGAGGCTGGAATGTTTTAAAAAGGTTGGTAAAAGGGGTAAAAGGCTGAGTTTACTTGTTTTTGGACTGTGCAGAAAATGCTGGAAAATATTGGCTGAGTGGGGACTTCACAAATGATGCATGATATACTTGAATTCAGAGTCATCCAGTGAAGTTGATGGGCAGCAGATTCAGGACGGACATTGTTTTTAGAACTCTGTAATCTGCCTTGAGTCTCAAGGCAGATCATACATGGAGTTAATAAAAAGTAAATAAATAGCTTATGTAAATAATTGCCAGGAGATATGCTGATGGTCACTGGATAAGAGCCAGTTTAGTGTAGTGGTTAGGAGTGTGGACTCTAATCTGGGAGGACCGGGTTTGATTCCCCACTCCTCCACTTGCAGCTGCTGGTGTGACCTTGGGTCAGTTACAAGTTATTTTCAGAGTTGTTCTCTCATGAGCAGTCTTCAAAAGAGCTCTCTCAGCCCCACGTACCTCACAGGGTATCTGCTGAGCGGCTCTGAAACTCCTTTGGGTAGTGATGGGTGGGGTATAAATCCAATCTCCTCTTCTCTTCTTCTTCTAAAATAATTTAAAGCAGAGATTAGACAAATTCAGGAACAACCGTAGCCCACCTCACACAACTGGGATTAAAGATGCAATCCTGGAACTGAAGCCTCACAATTCAAATGGACTCCTGTATAAATGTAGAGTTCTGCACACTGGCGTAGATTGGGCAGAGACTGCATTCGAGGCCAAAGTGTATAGGGTCCAATGATACCATGCCTGCACATGGAACATTTAAACATGATGCTCTATCTACCACAGTTCAAAAGGTTATGCTTAAACTGTGCTCACCTGATGGAAGTCAAGCTAATTGCCTGTTCCTATGTAGGCTTACTTGGAAGTTATCCCCAGTGAGTTCAGCACTGAAATCCTAAGTAAACTTGCTTGGGAATACATTGAACTGAACTCATCAGTTGCCAGTAAATCATTGGCCCACAATCAAATTCTGAAAACAAAACTTGGGTAATCCATTTAATTATAACTAACCCAAATATCACAAAATGGTGTGCAAATTTTGGCATTCTCGCTCTCTCTTAATTAGGCTGGATATCCAGTACAAAAAAAAACATTAAAAATGGGGGGGGGGGCAGAAAAGTCAATCCAGGGCAGGGCAACAAAGCACAAAGCCTGCAGTTCTTGTTTTAAAAGGGAAAATAGATGTGCTGCAGATTAAAATGGAAGAGAAGGTGCTCTGTGCAGAACATCCACTAACTGGTCTCTTCCTGGATTCTTGGATGACACATCAGGCGCCAGGGCATTGGTTGTAATGGTGGATGATCTTTATTTAAAGCTGGATGAGGGTCAGTTGTCCTTGTTGTTACTGCTAGTCCCTTCCGCAGCCTTCGATTCACTTGACCACTCCATTCTTGCTTATTGTCTGGAATATAGAGTTGGTATCAGAGGAGTGACTCTTCAGTGATCTCACACCAGGAAAGCAGGACCCTTGAGATTTATTTATTTATTTATGGACCAACCCTGTCTTATGGGGTGCCTCAAGGTTCCATTTCATTACCCTTGCCTTTCAATATTTATTTTAGGCCACTGAATGTGATCATCTGTAGCTTTCGGATTGGGTGTCCTCAATATGCAGGTGATACCCAGCTCTGCTTTTAGTAATCTAAGTCTCCAGATGCATCTGTCCTGGTCTTGAACCAGGGATTTTAGGCTGTGGTTAATTGGCAGAACAAGCCAAAGCTGAATCCAGACAAGACAGCAGGGATCCTGCTTGGGAAGACAGATGTTTGGGGATGTTTGGTTCCAGTGGTGGAGGTGTGGAGTTGGCATCTAAAAGAGCAGGTTAAGAGCTTGGGGGTTCTTCTGGACCCTGCCTTACTATCTGAAAGGATAGTTGGTGGAGTAGCCAAGAGTGGTCTCTAACTTCTTAGGCTCAGCTGGCCTCACCACACTAATCCGTGCATTTGTAACTTTGCGGATGGACTACTGTAATGCCCTCTATGTTGGGCTGCCCTTGAAGACAACTCAGATATTGCAACTGGTTAAGAATGGGACAACCCAGCTGTTGCCAGGGCTGCTCACTGGGGCGCACATCTTGCCAATTTTTAAAAAGCTTCATTAGCTGCCAGTTTATTTCCCAGGGCAATTAACTGTACTAGCTATGACCTTTAAAGCTCTTCATGTTCCCTCTAAGCTGTGGACTCTTGTGAGCAAAAATTCTACTTTGTGAGCTTCTGGCATTTAAGTTGTGAGTGAGCAAATTTGGCTACTGCATAAATTAGTTTGCTCTGGAGCCATCCTTCCTGAACTAAGACAAAAATGTGTGAGCCGGAGGCTACAAAACTGTGAGCTAGCTCACACTAACTCAGCTTACGGGGAACCCTGGGACCCACATATTTGAAGGGCTCTCTCTCTTTGTATGTCCCTGTGAACCAGCTCCGGTCTTTAGATTGCCACTTTCTGGTTGTTCCCTCAGAAACTGGGGGCCACCCAGACAAATGAGGGCCCATGACGTTTCTGTCTTTGCTCACATTCTGTGGAATGGGCCTCCTAAAGAGGTGAGGAGAGGAACACCATCTTTGGAAACTTTTTGGAGATGCTCTATTAGGAAGATTGCTTTATTCAGGGTAGTTGCAGGCAGGGAGGAAAGTTGACATAGTATAGCCCACCCTCATCAGATCTTGGAACTTAAGCAGGGTTGGTACTTGGGAGCCCCCCCAGTAAAATTCAGCATGGGAAGGCAATGACAAACCACCTCTACTTCTCACCTGCCTTGAAAACACTTTACATACAAATAGCAGGCAGTTTATGAGACTGGGGGAAACTAGGGGAGTCCCTGTTTCAATTATGCATTGTAAATCACCTTGTGCCGTGGGGAAAGGTGAGGTATAAATGTACAAATGATTCTACGCACTTGCCTTCTGAGGTGACGGCTGCATCTTGAGTCCCAATCCTTCACCCAATCAGTAATGAAATTCCAGTGAATCAAGAACCGTGGAACACTATGGGAGCAAGCCTAACCAGAACTACTCAGAAGTAAGACACGCATTACTCAATGGGGCATGGTTCCTTCGGAGTGTCTTTAGGATTGCCACCTGTGAAGCCCTTGTTACAGAAAGTGTGCAGTATGTGTGTGTGTGTATATTTAAAAACCACATATAAATAAAGACTAATTGCTTGAGGATAAAGTAAGGGTCCCAGCCATGAAAACAAACGACCCGTGGAGTCAGTGCCATAGAAAACCCACAAAATGCTGCACTGTCGCCCTCCCTTACTCCAATAGCTTTTGAGGAATGAGACACGCGTGCGGTACCAGTCCGGCCTCATTCATGGAGGTGGGGCGGGAGAATCTCTTCCTCCCCGAGGCCTCGGCCGTATCCTGACTGCCCCCACCCACTCACTCCCCCACTCCCCCACCCACTCACTCGTGCTTTAGGATCCGCGCACGCCGCCGAGCGGCCTCCCACGCGCCCGCCCGGGACGGAAGGAGTTAAGTTTGGAAGCCCCAGACACGTTGAGGGGGAGTAGCCAAAGCCGAGGCAGCAAAAACATCACAGCGCATTCCTGGGCAGCGCTCAGCTGCCAGCATCTGATTAAAACCATCTCTCTCGCTGTGAGTGGCTAGCTGCGCCGCGGAAGGGTCGAGCGCGACGGAATATTTAACCGGGCCGACGGTGTCGGCTCATTCGCCGGCTGCGGTGGTGGAAGGATCATGCACGAAGCGGCACGGATCTAGTCTCGTGAGTAGCTCCAGCAGGGGAGGGGAGACGGCGGCGGGCGAAGAGAGGCTCTTTGGAGGCTGCTTGAGGCGGGTTAGGCGGCCGGTCCGGCGTTGGAGCGACGCGCGCACGGGCTTCTCCGCCGCAAATCATCCATTGGCACCGGCGGCGTTCCAGAATGATTCGGATTAAGCGCTTGAGCGTGGCTGTCTCTTGGAGCCTCTCGGCGTCTCGTAGGCTGTCGGGACACGGTTTTTATTAATCCCGTGGCCCAATTGTGGTCATATGGGGCCAGTTTCCTCTCTGGAAGATGTGCCAAGCTTCGGAGAAACTGATATCTCAAGCAGTGCTGTTTTCGGGGCTAGTACAGAAGCGGGGGCATTTTCTTGTGGGAATAAGCGGCTTAGTGTGCCCGATTTTTTTTTTCTGTCCAAAATCCTTACTTTCCAACCTAGAATGCTGAGTAATGGTCTCAGTTGGCTGACATGGATTATAAATATCTAAATCTCATTTTCCTTCCACGTCTTAAAAAAATCTCCTCCCGAAAAGCTTTTAAAGGATTCCAATAACCCATCTCTACCTTGAGTGGTGGGGGAGAGAAATGGGAGAATGAATGGGGGTGGGTGGGTATTTTAGTAGTGCCAGTGGTAAATGAGATGCTGCGTGTCTGGGTAGTGGTGGTGTAGGAAACTTGGCCTGAGGGAAGATGTCCTAGTTAAAACAAAAAAAACGAGATGGAAAATCCCACCCTGAACCAGGGCTCTGGCTCTCCTCGGTGGAAGCTGGAGAAGCTGAAGAAAAATAAACAAGACTTCCATAGGGAGGACTTGAGTAAGGCAGGCAGTATATATGCAAACAATAAATCTTTCCCTTTGCAGAAATGGCTTCCCTAAAGAAATTGGTCTGGGCCTGTTAAAGACAGCCGTTAATAAAAAAAAGAGAAGGCCATATGAAAAGCCTGTAAATTTAGAACTAGAGACCTAACATTGTGGTATCATTAAGAACAGTGTGGTGTAATGGTTAGAGCATTACACTCTGAGCTAGGAGACCCAAGCCATGACAGCCAGTGGCGTGTAGTGAGCAGGGTGTCAGACCAGTGCCTGGAACATTCCCAGTTCAAATCCCTACTTCACCATGGAGCCTTTTCGGGTGACCTTTGGCCAGTCAGAAGCTCAGGATAAAATGAAGGGGAGAAGAACGATGGGAGCTGGTTTGGGCCCTCCCTATTGGGGAGAAACGCAAGATATAAACAAAAGTTTATTCAGCCTGACCTACCTCGCATGGTGGTTGTGAGCTTAACATGGCGGTGCACTGAACAGTATGTGGCCCCCATCTCCTTGGAGGAAGGATGGGATAAAAATGCCCTAGACACTAATTAAATTCTGTAGCCCTTGCTGTAGAATGGTTACGGTGAACCCTGTTGGAAGCTTTGTAGTATCTCCCGGCTTTGCTTGGAGCAGAGCATCCTCCCAGGTGCAAATCATTATTGTAACATCCTCCTTGCAGGAGTGAAAATAAACAGTGGCACACTGAAGTGGGCAGGCAGTAGTAAACTGTCCTTGTAAGGGAAGGGAGGGGGCTGATTCGGTTTTACTCTTTAGCTTGTGGTTAGCCATGGTGGCTGGGGGATCATCCTGAGACCTCATTGCTTGCAGGGTGGTTTGGCAGTCCTTAATTAACTGGGAAGGCCGCCGGAGCTCATCTGAGTCCATCCCCTTTCTCCTCCTCTCCCCCCAAAGTGTTCTGTGTTCGCAGTGGGACTCCTTCTTAAAGGATCTGTAACCGGTGGGATCTGGAGGCTGGGCTTTGACAAACTGCAGGAAAGAACTGAGGTCAGGAGTTTCTGGAAAGGTATCCATTTGAGGCTTCAAGCTGAGAAAGAGCATCTCCCAAGGGTATCTGAAAGGTGTAGAATTAATATTTGCCAAGTGAGGCACGCTCTGTTTAATAGGGCTTCCACCTTTCTGACTGCCACTGTTCTGTGCCTTTAAGAGCAGCTGAACTTCACCAAGCTGCCACAGGTGAAGCTTCTCCTGGTGTGCTAAGTGGCAAGGAGAATCTTCACCTGGCTCTTAAAGGCACAGGAATGAAACTGTAGTCACTCTAAGCATGAGGTTTCAATCCATGGTAACGGGGTTTTATAGGAAAAAAAGAGGCAATAAATAGCTTCTGAAGGTTATCTATGTAGGTCATGGGAAATCTCAATATCATTTAAAAAAAATGAGGTCTTCTCATGATGTGAGTTGGATGAAGCTAAGCAGCAGGGCAGGTAAAATGGTCCTCTGAAATAGAAGCAATTTATCATGTGTTTCCGTAGGAGTGTGAAAAGCTGAGTCCTGAATGAATGACTGGCACATAAGTAAAGGGTTTGTAAGCAGGATACACAGAGTAGCTAGGTGTCAGCATGACTTGTGCCAATGGAATAAAAAGGATCCAAAGTAGGCACTGTGGAGGACGGCGGGGATGAGTTCATTTTCTACTCCTACCATAGCCTGTAATTGGCCAAGCAATTTCTTGCTGTGTTCTGGCTTGCTGACAGTCTGAATGGAAGAGTAAATCCTGGCAAGCAGCTGACTTGGCAAAAGCAGTCGCATTGGCTCCCCGGGCAGTGTCTTTTGCCTCTGACTTTTGGAAGACTGCCATGGGTAGAACTTCAACAGGTACAGACTTCCTGGTACAGGTTGATTGATATAGAAGCTCAAGTTTGGAGGGGTTTTTTTGGTAGGACAAGACTGACTTACTCCAAAGCTGGCATGGTGTCGTGGTTAGAATGAAGAGGAAGATTGGGCTTATACCCTGTCCTTTACTGCCTGAAGGAGTCTCAGGGCGGTTTACAATCCCTTCCCCTCCCCACAACAGGCAGCCTGTGAGGTAGGTGGGGCTGAGAGAGCTCTTTGAGAACGGCTCTTGAGAGAATAGCTCTGAAAGAACTAGTGAGGGACCCAAGGCCACACCAGCAGCTGCATGTGGAGAAGTGGGGAATCAAACCTGGTTCTCCCAGATTAGAGTCTGTGTTCTTAACTACTACACCAAACTGGCTCCTGGGATCATCCCGTGATCTAAGGTCCCATGTTTAAATCTCTGTTGTGAGGTTGTGTGGGTTACCTTGGGCCAGTCATTCCCTCACCTAGCCTCCCTTGCAGGAGTCTGGTTATGAGGGTTAAGTAAAGTCCCCATTTGGCATAGTGGTCAGTACTGGACTGGTGTCTAGGAGACCCAGGTTCAAATCCTTAATCTGGCCTGAGGTCACCCAGGACTTGTGACCAGGTGGTTGTGAGGATGAAATGGAGGAGAGAATGAGAAAAACCACTCTGGGTCCCCATTGGAGAGAAAGGTGGAGTATAAATTATGTAAATGCAATAAAATCGAATACAGCATGTAGGGAGAGAAATGTTCTCAACCCCATTGGGTAGAAGTGCATGGTGTAAAATCTAGATGTGCTTCCAATACTAAGTGGGACCTCTTTTCAGAAGAACGTGACCAGGCCTCTCTAGAACTGCTGGACTCTCAATACAATGTGCAGATGTCATTAGGGTTGCCAACCTCCAGGTGGGACCTGGGGATCTCCCGCTTTTACAACTGATCTCCAGCTGACAGAGATCAGCTCCCCTGGAGATAATGGCTGCTCTGAAGGTGGACTCTATGGCATTGTACCATGCCAAGGCCCCTCCCCTCCCTAAACCCCGCCCTTTCCTGGCTCCACCCCCAAAGTCTCCAGGTATTTTCCAATCCAGACCTGGCAACCCTAGCTGTCATTCAAAGGCCCAATTCAGTCATCCAGATAAATTGACCGGTGGAAGGAATTCTTTCAGAGGCATGACGGAGAGCAGCCTGTCAGTGCCGCAAGAAGCCCTTCAGCAGCTTGTTCCAGCTTGCCCCTTGTCCAAGTCCTAGTTCATTTTTGATGTGGTCAGAAGAGGGTTGCCAGCTCGGGGTACTCCTGGAGATTTGGGGGCAGAGCCTGAGAAGGGTGGGACTTGAAGAGGGGGAGGGACCTCAGCAGGGTATAATAACCGAGAATCTGTCCACCGAAGCAGCTGTGTTCTCCAGGGGAACTGACCTTCACAATCCGGAGATGTTGTAATTTGGAAGATATCCAGGCATCCTTCAGAGGCTGGCAGCCCTAGTTCAAAAAGACTGCACGGGGTCCCTTCTGCTGCACTTCTAAAGACACTGCAATGAGCATTGTTGACAGGCATTTATAGAACATGCTGTAAGGAGAAACTGCCTAGCTCGGGTTTGAGTCTATGTAATTGGTGGGTCATTGTGCTGAAATTCACAAATGGAGGAGAAGGAGTAAGTAGTAACTTGGTAGTAACTGTGAGTGGTACTTAGAATATGCCTGGTCCGTGGGGCAAAGGAAGGGCAGGCCCAAAACCTAGACTGAGGATTAGCTACCACTTGTGGAAACTCTTGAAATGAACGGGACTGGGCCCTCCGGTTCTTGAATTCTTTTGAGTAGCTATAACAGGGTGAATAGACAGGGTGGCCTTCTGATGAACTCTCTGCCACTGAATGTGCCACGCCCGGCTATGCAGGGCAGGATAAACTGCCCAGTTGTTTCCAACGGGTGCTGTTAATAGCATTCTTGCACAAATAGGCAATCCGTCAGGTGACGCAAGGAATGCTGTGCTCCCAGAGGAGGTGTGAGGTGATCTTGTGGTTAAGGAAGGTTCCTGGACTGCGTGGCCAACAGGCCCTGTTATCTGCATTTCAGGCTTACTCCTAAAGTAAACTGCGGATTGGGAGCAACTGTTGCAAGGTTCCAGAGGTTAGTGTTGTAAAGTGGAGGCTAGCCGCCCTGAGCCAGCTTCGGCTGGGAGGGCAGAGTAAAAACCTGAAAAATAAATAAAACAAATAAATAGTGTCAAACTAGGATCCGTGAGACCTAGGTTTGAATCCCCACTCGGCCATGGAGGTAGGATTGCCCAACAACCTGGAGAAAAGAAGTCCTGTCTACTTAATAAAGGCTCAGTTACATTTTACTGTTATGTTATTAAAAAGCATCAACTGTGACAATT